GGGGGGTCTCTCTTCCATCAGACCACCCGGTTGCAGATGGTGCCCAGCTCCTCGATCTCACACTGCACCTCATCCCCGCGCTGCAAGGGGGGACATGGTGGCATCTGTCCCCAGTTGGGTCCACCGTGTCCCCACTCTCTCCCCAACCCCACGGGAGCCCATCCCTTTCCCTCACCTTCAGGAAAACGGGCGGTTTCCGAAAGACCCCCACTCCGGCGGGGGTCCCTGTCAGCAGGATGTCCCCAGGGACCAGTGTCACGAACCTGGGGACACACACGGTGTCAGCCATGACCCCTTGGCTTTGGGAGTCCCTTCTCCTCCCCCATTCCTACCGGGACACCCAGGCGACGAGGGTGGGCACCCCAAAGATGAGGTGGCGGGTGCTGCTGTCCTGCATCCGGTGYCCATTGACGCTGCAGCGGATCCACAGGTTGTGGACGTCTGTGGGAAGTTGAGATGGGGGAACATGGGGACAATGCCACTGAGACCCCAGCTTGGGGAAAACCACGGAGGGCTGGGGCACATGGGACTGTGACAGCAGCAGTGGCTGCCGAGAAGGAATTGCCATCTCATCCCTGCCTTGTCTCTGTCCTGTTCTCCTGCCATCTGTGTTCTGTGCCCAACCCATCCCTGTCGCACCTGGCACCGCCTCTCTGGTGACAATGGCTGGCCCCAGGGGACAGAAGGTGTCGAAGGTTTTCCCCAGCAGCCACTGGCGCCCGTTTCGCCGCATTTGCCAGTCGCGGGCGCTCACGTCGTTGGCCACCGTGAAGCCCAGGACGTGTTCCAGCGCCGCCGCCTCCTGGGGACAGGGGGGAGCCGCTTACAGGGGGCCACACCAGGGACCCCCGAATGAGGCTGGAGCGGGGGGTACCTCGATGTGCCGCCCCCTCTTCCCGATGACAGCGGCCAACTCCACCTCCCAGTCCAGCTCCTGTGGGGATAAAAGAGGGGCTGGGAGGGTTATTGCCTCGGGGGGCTGTGGGGGTGGGTCCTGGGGTACCCACGCTGGTGTCCTGAGGGTGCACGATGTCATCGAAGGGCCCGGTGATGGCGCTGGGGAACTTGCTGAAGATGAGAGGCTCCTTGGGGACCTTGGCACCCTGCTCCTCGCAGTGGTCGTGGTAGTTGAGCCCCACACAGATCACCTTCTCGGGGTCCCCCACGGGTGCCAGCAGCTGCGCAGATGCTCGGGGCACCCGGTGCTGTCCTGACTCCAGTGCTCTGTGGGGACAGATCCATCCTCCAGGTCAGACACATTTTGGGGCTTCCATTTCTCAGTGGCCTCTCTTTTGGCGGATCATTCACACAGGTCAAATRTATTTTAGGGACTCTCCTTCCGGGGATGCCCACATTTGAGAGGATCCACTTTTTGGGGTCAAGTACTCTGAGGTCATGTGTGGTTTTGAGCATCCACCTTTTTCGGGGGGTCAACTATTGCAGGTAATCCAGTTTGGGAGTCATCCAAAAGAGTCTCTGATTTGGGTGGACACTCCTTTGGGSTCCATGAGGATATCCCCTTTTCGGGTTCACTCTCATTTTGGAGGACCCTCCACTTACGGGGGGACGGCTTTTGTCACCTTTGGGGATCACCCAYCCTTGGCCTCACCCACCTCCTTGCGAGCGCCAGCCCTCGAGGGCCGATCTCCAGGAATTCCCGCATGGACCGGGGCAGCTCCGGCTCCGCCGCACACAGATCCACCAGGTCCCCCCCGGGCGCYTCCTCCAGCCCGAGCCGGGGCGCCCCGCCCGCGGCTCCCCGGAACCGCACCARCCGCAGAGCCCCGCGCATCCCCTGCGGCACCGGGGCTCAGCACCCCGCCGGAGGAGAGCCGGGGGCAGCGGATCCCCCTCGGCACAMTGGGGGGATCCCTCCCACCGATCCGACATAACCCCAGTGCTGGAGGGTCGTTCCGCCCGATCGCCAGATCCCCCCAGTCACAGGGGTTGCTCTCCTGATCCCGCACTGCTCCGATCCCTGTGGATCTTCCCCCACCCCGATCCCGGTCAGCCTGATCCCAGGGATTCCCCCGATACTGCACAACCCCAGACCCGCAGGGTTCCCCCCCATTTCTCGCCCACTCAGTGCCAGGGAATCCCCCGATTCCGTAGGGTTCTCTACCCACCGCACACTCCCCCCATTCCCACCCCCAGTTCCGCAGTCCCGATCCCAATGATCCCCACCTTTATCCCACATAGCCCAGACCCCGGGAATCCCCCCGACCCAAGGGATGCCCCCCAGCCCCGATGGAGGGCTCCCCCCGCCCCCRWYCCSGGGRCYYCCCCSKTYCCMRGGGYYCCCCCMMCCCSGGSYYCCGGGGGTCTCATACACGGCTGCTCGCCCGCTCCGCCAGGGGGCGCTGCGGACACTGCGCGTCACGTGTTACGTCACGTGCCTCCTCCCCGCCCGTTCGCACAAAGGTCGCCGCTCCGAAACCCCGCCCCCTTCAGGCCGTCCAATGGGAGCGGGCAGGGGGCGGGGCCACACGTTCAACGGGAACCAATGAGAGGAGAGGACTGAGGGGCGGGGCCGCGGGACAGACCGGGACGGAAACTGGGAATGGGAATGGGAGCAGGACTAGGAATGGGAGCGGGACCGGGAATGGGAATGGGACCGGGAATGGGAATGGGAGCAGGACCAGGAATGGGAGCGGGACCGGGAATGGGMRTGGRASYGGGAATGGGWMTGGGACCGGGAATGGGAGCAGAACTGGGAATGGGAGCGGAACTGGGAATGGCACTGGGAYCGGGAATGGGAATGAGAGCAGGACCAGGAATGGGAGTGGGACTGGGAATGGGAGCGGGACCGGGAATGGGTCTGGGACCGGGAATGGGCGTGGGAGCGGAAGCGGGAATGGGAGCAGGACCGGGAATGGGAGCAGGACCGGGAATGGGAACGGGACTGAGACCGGGAATGGGAATGGGAGCCGGACTGGGAAAGGGAGCTGGACTGGGACCAGGAATGGGAATGGGAGCGAGAATGGGAATGGGACCGGGAATGGGAGTGGGACTGGGAGCGGGACTCGGAGTGGGAGAGAGACCGGGAATGGGAGCAGAACAGGGACTAGGAGAGGGACAGAGAACCAGAATGGGAACTGGGACACGGGGAGGAACAGGGATGGGGAGCAGGACAGGGAGAGGAGCATTGTGCATCCGTCACACCCCCCTCGACTCCATTTCACCCCTAAATCGTCACTATTTGGTTTATTTACAAAATCTCCTCTCTCCATGTGCCTGGGAGAGGGGGGCTRTGGCTTCATGGGGGAGTCCCCTGAGTGTTGGGGGAGAGGAGGAACTGTGTGCTTTTGGTTGGTGTTTGGGGTCTCCATTACATGACTGAATATGGACCCAGAGGACCCCATATCCTGGGGGTCCTTGCCTTGGGGGGTGGCATCTTTGAGGGTCCTCAGGTGCCAGGCAGGCCCTATGTCCTGGGGGTCCCCATTCCAGGAGGCCCTGGGGTCGAGTTTGTGCTGGTCCCTGCACTGCCCAGGGCAGGGGGTCCTTGTCGATGGGAGACTCAGCCCCCCAAAACGGGTCCATCTGGCAGGTGGCAGCACCGTATCGGGCASGGCTCTGGTGGCAACAGCGTCCTCATCCCATCCCATCTCCAGGAGACACGTGCTGGATTTCTCCTCACTTTTAACCTCTTGTTTGTCTGAAATAGAAGAAAAACTCCGGGGGGGGGCCTGGGGTCTAGAGCACGTTGTGGAAGATCTGCATGGAGCTCATGATGTCCTTGTCCTGGGGGAGAGAGATCAGATACTCCATGTTCCCCTCCTCCTGACACCCCTCCTCCCAGCTCCCCTTCTCCAGTCACCTTTTGGCCATTCCCCTCATCCTGTCCCCCCATCTGCTCCCTCCTGTCCCGCTCTCCTGTCCCTACCCCCGCTGTCCCCCCATCTCACACATCCCATGACAATCCTGCCTCTCCCGCATCCCTCTCCCAGCCCCTTCTCCTGTCCCCCTCCCCTGTCCCTCTCCTCCTGTCCCACTCACATCCCTCCCAGGGTGGTCCCGTTGTCCCCTTGTCCTGGCACCCCCAGCGCATCATTTTGGGACAGAACAAGGAGGACGATGGTGCCTCCCACTCCCTCCAGAGCCCCTCACCTCCTGGCACGTGGCCAGGAACTCCTCGAAGGTCACCACGCCGTCCCTGTTCCTGTCCATCTTCTGCAAGAGAGTGGCCGGGGTTCAGGGGGGTCACCCTGGCTGCAGAGTATCCCCGGGAGGTGATGGTGGGGACAGTCTCACCTGGAAGAACAGCTCCACGTGCTGGGCCGGCACTCTGGTCCCCAGGGCAGGCTCGGTGCAGCGGCCCATCATGGCATAGATGGATTTCATGATCTCCAACATGTCCTGGGGGACACAGGACGCTGGCAGGTCCCCGTCTGGGTGTTCCCACCCCGCCAGCCCCCCCAGCGTCTCCCAGTGTCCCCCAGTGTCACCTCCTTGGTGACATAGCCATCCTTATTCACGTCGTAGAGGTCAAATGTCCACTTCAGCTTCTGCTGCTCTGTCCCCCGCAGCAGCACCGACAGTCCCACCGCGAAATCCTGCCGGGAGGGGGGCAGCCGTGAGCAAGAAGGGACCATCACCCCACTCCCTCCTTCCTCCCGCTGCCACATCGATCCCGGGGCGCCCGAGGGATTTCAGTCCCTATTGATCCTGTTATTTTTACCCCCCACTGCCGCAGTGCCCGGCGCTCCGAGCACCCGCGAGGGAGAGTTTGGCCACAGCCTGGGAGGGGGAAGGGGGAAGAGGAGGRGGAGGRGGAGGAGGAGGAGGGGGAGGATGTGATGAATCACGGCGCTGGCACAGCCATTCCCATTAGGAATTCCCACCTGGAAGCAGAGAGCGCCGTTGCGGTCAGCGTCGAAGGCGTCGAACAAGAAGTGGGCGTAGGAGCTGGCGTCTGCAGGGGGAGGGCAGCGGTGATTTCCCCCGCTCTGGGGTCGGGAGCTTTTCCAGATGAGCCCCCCCAGACATCCCTGCTGGGTTTGGGGCCCTCCGACTCACCGCCTTGAGGGAAGAACCGYGAGTAGATGAGCGTGAAGGTCTCCTCATCCACRAGGCCGCTGGGACATTCCTGGGAAKGGGAGCAGCGCCRGTGACCCCGAGGACCACAGGGACCCATGGATTTTGGGGCTCGGGGTGACAGACGCCCAGACTCACATTCTTGAAGCCGCGGTAGAGGGATTGAAGCTCCGTTTTGGTGAACTTGGTGCGAGCCAGCAGCTGCTCCAGCCCCTCGGGTTGGTGCCGGATGGTTGGGAGCTCCACGTCAACATCGCCGCTGTCTGCTGGAAKAGACTCCTGGGCAAAGACCCCCTCAAAAACAACCCCTCCACCCCTAAATCCACCCCCACCCCCTTAAAACCATCCCATCCCTCTAAAACTACCCCTCAGCACCTTGGCAGACCCGAGAGCTCCCTTGGGATGGACCCTGGAACACCCTGGGTGTTGCTTCCCAAGGGGTTTCCCGCGTTCCCAAGGCACAGAACATTCCGGAGCCACCTCTTGCCAACTGCTGCTCCTGCCCGGCCCGGCGGAAGGTAATTAATAAATGATGGTTCATTAATAATTTCAGCCTGGAAAGCCCGTGTGCAGCTGCTCAGCACAGGGTGGGTGTCAGCAATTTCGGGATGGGATTGGGAGCCTGGAAAATCCCCAGGAATGGTCAGAAAGGGGTCAACCACAGCTCCTGCTGAGCCAGGTCTCAGGGGAATTGGTGGGGTAGTGGGGAATCTGGCATTGTGTTTTGGAGAGGTTTTGGGAATAATTTCTTGGGGGAAAATAATTTTGGGGAAATAATTTCGGGAAAATAATTTTGGGAAAATAATTTTGGGATCATTTTTTGGGGGGCAATAATTTTGGAGAAAATTCCCAGGTACAGTCAGAGAGGGGTCAACCCCCAGTTCCTGCTGAACCAGGTCTCAGGGGACTTGGAGCGGGGCAGTGGGGGGCCCTGGCATGTTTTGGGGGAGGGTAGGGGATACTGGGACCTTGGTGTCCCATCTTAGGGAGSTTTAGGGCTGATGCAGGAATTGGGGCTCCCTGTGTCCCATCTCAGGAGGTTTTGGGGGTCACTGTGGAGTCAAAGCTCCCCAGCACCTCACCTTGTTGGCGGTCAAGACCAGCTCAGAGTACCCCTGTCCCACCGTGAGAAGGTTTGGGAGTCACTGGGGGTCCCCGTTATCCCCTCCTGGGGGTTCACTGGGGCCCTGGGAGGGATGGCAATGGGGCCCCCACCCCCCCAGCATGTTGGGGACTGGCACAGCCCCTCGGGGGAGGTCAGAGCATGGCTGGGCCATGACGCTGCTGGGGGGGTGCAGACCCTGCTGGCTCCCCCTGCACCCCCAAACCCTCAGCCTTCACCCCAGCCTTAGGGGGAACCCCAAAACCAGCCAGTTTTACTCTACGGGGACMAATCACAGCCCAACAGGTCACTTAATCCTGGGAGGAGGGACGGGGACAGCCCGCGATGGGTTAATTAAATAATTAGGGTTAATTTAGGTTAAGTGAGGAGGGGGGGTGGTACCTTCCACAGAGATGGGTTCCAGAATGCCGAACTGCTTGAGGACAGCGATGAAGAGGAGGATGACCACAGCCACGGCGCACAGCTCCATGCCCTGGATGCCCATGGCCCCTGGGGAGGGATTGGGGGGGATTGGGGGTTCCCCCCCCCCCAAACCCCGCGGGGGTGCGGGCGCTGGGTGCTGCGGGAGTGCGGGGCGGGTGCTGCGCCCGCTGCCCGTGTCCAGCTGTCCTGCCCTCCTCCTCCTTCTCCTCCTCCTCCTCCTCCCTTGGCACTCGCCCACCCCCCGGCCCCCCCGGCGCTGCTGCTTGCCCGTATTTTATTTTCAGTTCCCCCAAAGAGGGTGGCGGACTGGGGCAGGGGTGCTGCCCCTGCTCCCCGCAGCACCTGTGGGTGCTGAGTTCACAGCCACGGGGGTCAAACCAGGACGGGCCTCAAATTTGGGTGAAAAAAAGGTTGTTTTGCCCCCCCCCGCCCCCCGCCCCCGGTGGGATCGATAGGATCGATAGGGATGAGTAAGCAGCAAGGGGAGGGGAAACTGAGGCAGGGAAGGCGCGGGGGCTGTCCCGGTTCCCCCAGAGCTGCCCCCACCCCTCTGGAGATGTCCCATAGTCCTGGGGACATCAGTCCTGTTGCCTGAGGGCTGTTCCTGTCCCCCCTGGGGCTGTGCCTGTGCCCCTCGGGGCGTTGTCCCCCACCATGGCCAYCTGTACCCACTGCCAGCAGGAATGGCTCTCTGCAGAGCCCTGAGCTGGCCTTGTCCCCAAGGCTCCAGGGACATCAGGGACATCGGCCTTGTCACATCAGGGCTGTCCATGTCCCTCAGGGTGTCCCCCCCACAACCCACAGGACATCATCCCTGCCCYCCAGGGGTGTTGTGTCCCCAGAAGAATCTGTCTCCATCCCTCAGGRGATGTCATGTGCCCATGGCCCCTGGTTCCCATCCTTCCAGGGGACCCATCCTCATGGTCCCAGGGACATCATCCCTGTCCCTGTGCCCCACGGGGTGTCCCCATCACCTGCAGGGTATTCCTGTCTCCCCCCGAGTCCCAAGGGATCCCATGGCCCCCGGGGACACTGTTCCTGTCCTACTGCCGCTTGTCCCTGTTGCCCCCAGGGCTGTCCCCATGGCCCTCGGGACATTGTCCCTGTTCCCTCAGGGGTGACCCCAGACCCCAGGGTTTCCCTATTCACCCCGGGGTCGCCAGGTACCAGAGCGCTGTCCCATCCCCGAGGCCCTGGGGACATTGTCCCCTCAGGGTTGTCCCTCTCCCCTCAGGGCTGTCCCTTTCCCCTCAGGGTTGTCCCTCTCCCCTCAGGGCTGTCCCTTTCCCCTCAGGGGTCCCTGTCCCCTCAGGGTTGTCCCTCTCCCCTCAGGGTTGTCCCTGTCCCCTCAGGGCTGTCCCTGTCCCCTCAGGGGTGTCCCTGTCCCCTCAGGGGTGTCCAAACTCCCACCCCAAACCTCCAGAGCCCACAGTGACCACCGGACCCACACGGGGGGCGGGGGTCTTTGGGGGCGGGGTCTTTGGGGCGGGGCTATCCGTGTTGTGGGCGTGGTCAAGGGCGTGGCTCCGGATAGTGGCGCGATTCTACCGCATTAGCCTTTCCTTCCCGACGTCACTTCCGTTTCCGTCCGCGCCGGAAGTGCAGCCGCTTTCGCCGCCATGGCCTCAAGGTTACTGCGGGTGAGCGCGGCCCTGCGGCTCCTGCCCGCGGCATCTGCCCGCGCCGTGCCCGCCCGCCACCTCGGCGTACCCGGTGAGCGGGGACCGGGGGAGCGGGGAAACGGGGGAGGGGAGCGGGGGAAGAACGAGCGGGACCGGGGGGCGGCCGGGGCGGGGTGTCCGCGCCCCCAGTGTGACGGCGGCCCGCAGGAAACCTGGCCAGCGATGAGGAGCAGGCGACCGGCATGGAGCGGAAGGTGATGGAGGCCATGAACAAGGGTCTGGTGAGTGCCAGTGAGGTTGGGGAGATCCCTTGGTGGGGCTCGGGCCGGGTGTTYTGTGGGGGCGGGTGGTGGAGGATTGGGGGTATGTCTGGGAGAACCCAGTGGTGTCTCAAGGGATAACGGGGGCTCTGGSGTGGTTTCAGGGTTCGACGGGTGTTCGGGGAAGTCGCAGGGTCTTCTAGGGGGGCTCAGGGGTTGGCCGAGGRTTTGGGGGTATTTCAGGGTTTCGGYGCCCTTGTGGGGGAAGGGTCTGAGGGTTAAAGAGTGAGARGATCTGGGAATCCTAGGGATTTTGGGGAGGGCTCGGGTGGTGGCAGGGTCGCCTGGAGGAGGTTTCAGAGTTGAAGGGTTGCAGGGCTGGGGAGTTCTCRCAGGGGGTCTGGGGGTCTCAGAGCTGGGGGAGTCTCGGGGACAAAGTGTCTGAGGGGGAAACTGGGGGAACCCAGGTGGGGTGGTCAGTTTGGCTGYCTTGGGGATAGGCTGTCCTTAGAGGGGATTCTGGGTCTGAGGGGTGGAGGGGCGGGTGGAGGTTGTGGGATCTTCACAGTCTGGGGGTGCCCTTGCTTTCCCCTTTCCCACAGGATCCGTACAACATGTTCCGGCCCAAGCGCTACGCAGGCACCAAGGAGGACCCGAACCTCGTCCCCTCCATCACCAACAAGCGCATTGTGGGCTGTGTCTGTGAGTACCTGCCATCCCATCCCATCCCATCCCATCCCTGTGTCTGTGTGTCTGTGCTGTTCCTTGTGTCCATCTCCATGTGTCTGTCCTTTATGCGTGTCCATCTCTGTGTCTGCGTGTTCGTCCTGTTCTTGTGTCTATCTCTGTGTGTCTGTCCTGTTCYTGTGTTCTCATGTCCATTCTTATGTCTGTGTGTCTGTCTTGTCCATTTCTGTGCGTCCAGTCTCATGTCCATGTGTCTGTCCTGTCCCTTTGTCCATTTATCCATCCTTGAGTCTATGCCTGCTCGTGTGTCCATTCCTGTCCCCTGTCCATTTGTCCATCCCCRTGTCCATYCYTGTCTGTCCCTGTGCTCCACATCTCTTGTCCACATTTCTTGTCCCTCACCACCATGCCTGTCTCCCTCTGTCCCCTTGTCACATGCTGTTCTTCCTGGTTCTGTGCTCATGTCCCTGGGTCCCTGTGCCATGTTATCCCTGTCCCACGCTGTCCCTCTGTCCCTGTCTTCCCTGTCCCCATATCCCTGTTCCCCTGTCCCATCCCTTGTTATCCTTGTCCCATATTATCTCTGTCCCATGTTATCCCTGTTTGCTATTGCACGCTGTCCGTCTGTCCCTGTCCTGCCTGTCCCCATATCCCTGTTCCCCTGTCCCATCCCATGTTATCCTTATCCCATGTTATCCCTGTTTCCTATTGCACACTGTCCCTCTGTCCCTGTCCTGCCTGTCCCCATGTCCCTGTTCCTCTGTCCCACGCTGTCCCTGATCTCCCCAGGTGAGGAGGACAACAGTTACGTGGTTTGGTTCTGGCTGCACAAGGGCGAGGCCCAGCGCTGCCCCTCCTGCGGTGCCCACTACAAACTGATCCCCCACGAGCTGCCCCACTGAGGGGAGCCTGGGAGACCCTCCAYCCTCCCCTCCCCGGGACCACCGGGGCTCTGCTGGACCCCCTTGCATCACCCCAGATAAAGAGGTTGTGTGGACACCCTGACTGTGTCTTTGCTGGGGGCAGCAGGGTGGATGGAACAGGCCATGGGGGTGTCACTGTGAGCAGGGAGGGGATGTGGGAGGTGGTGTGAAGAGGTCTAGGAGGAGTATTTGAGGTGGGGGTAGCCCACTTCACTGGACCTCTGTCCTGGGAGGTGCTGGGRTTGGGGCAGGCCCTGGRTGCAGCTSTGGGAGAGGGTCCCATTACTGCTTWGTCCCTTTGGGGCTTCCTTGCCCAGCTTGTGCAATCCCCCATCCCAAAAGAAGCCCCTGAGTGCTGAGAGGGTTTGGGTTGCTCCCAGAGCCTCCTGGACAGATCACAGGATCCACACACTCACAGAGTACCCTCCCAGTGCCCCCCTTGGGCATGGTTTTGCTTATCCCATGGGTGACACCGCCTGGGCTGGAGGATCCCAGGGCGCCAGTCCTGCCAGGCACCTGTGCTCCATCTTCCTATGAGAGGACTTGGAAGGCTCCACCAGATTCCAGGAGATCCCCAGAGGTTTCCAGAAGATCCACAAAAGATCCACAGGGGAGCTGAAAGTTCCCAGGAGATTCCAAGTGGCCACAGGAGATCCTCACTGTTCAGCAGGAGATCCCTAAAGGCTCCCAGGAGATGCTGGGGCATCCCTGCTGGTTCCCATAAGATCCCCAGAGACTCCATGTGGTCCCAGGGCATCCCCAACATGAGGGCTCCCTTTAGGCAGGTTATCCGTGATGCCACATCCCCAGGCTGGGGATAATTGTGGGTTCTGCCCTCCAGGTTCTGCTGAGGGGTCCAGGGGGCCCTGGAGGTTCCGTGGGGGCCCTGGGAGGACCCGGGTGCTGCCCATCCCCAGCGTGGCCCCAGTGCTACTGACTAGCTGTGATGTCATCGATGATGTCACGCTGTCTGACATGACATCATACATATGGGATGGAGGGGGTGGAGCTGTGGGAATCACCAGGCAATGGAGCCTGTGTTCGCTGTGAATGACAGYCGAGGGGGCGGGGCTTTTGGCATTACTGGCCAATGGTAGCAGGCAATGGCCCTGACTGACAGCTGGGGGCGTGGCTCTGCCTTTAGGGGTGCAAAGGGACTGCAGGGCGGGGCTTAGAAAGGGGAGGGGATTCGGGCGTCCCCGACCAATGGGGGGTGGTGGCGGCTGTGACTGACAGCTGGCAAGGGCGGGAATCTGCGCTCGATGGAGCCGAGAGGGGTGTTACCTGGGGGCGTGGCTTCAGCGACCAATAGGAGCTGCTGGTGCCTGTGACTGACAGCTGGGGGGCGGGGTCTGTGCTCAGCAGTTGCTCTGCGAGGGGAGGRGGCTACGGGGCGGGGCTTATAGGGGCGGAGCTTGAGCCTCATTGACCAATGGAAGTCATGCGTGCCCGTGACTGACAGCCAAGGAGCAGACTTCTATACTCAATGGAGCGGCGCTGCGAGAGCCCATTGACCAATGGGAAGCATCGGTGGTCGTGACTGACAGCTGGAGACCGGGATGGAATTGGAGGGGAGGGGGCTGCGGGGCGGGGCCTGACGGGGGGCGGAGCTTCACCGGGGGCGCGCGGGGACGCGGCGGGCGGAGCTCTCGGCGCACGTGACGGCGGCGGTGCGGCGGTGACGTCAGCGGTGTCGCAGCGGGGCCGG